TAGTAGAAAAGACTCAGTGAGAATGTGTTGAAATAGATGATCTTCATGTGGATGCTGAGGTTGGCCCGTTTGGCAGCAGCAAGCCTCATACGAAATTTAGCCAGCTGTTTTGACAGCAGAGTGACGAGAGATGTTTGCAATTGCACTTTGACCATGGTCTCATGCATCATTTGGCATGTCCACCCGGTGTGGATCGTTAGACCAAGATTGACAGTTGTAGGCACAATACACTGACCTCCTAAGCCAGCTTGGTCCAGGCAATATAGTTGCTCTGCAGAATAACTGACATTCGTGAGCAGTTGCGTTTTGGATCGGCATTGGCATGGACTAGCTGCTAGACGGCAAAGCATGGGGTGCCCTTCAGTTACTAGTCTAGGAATGACATCTGAGGACATGTGCATGCAGTGGTCACCGTGTCTAAGGACAAAGCAACGTGCATAACCAGGGACGTGTTGTAGCGCTGCACTACAAGTGGCCTGTCCTAATTCATGGATGAGAGTTACGTAGCTCCAGACATCTTCAACTTTGTACAGCGTGTTTTCATCAAGTGCCCTACTGGAGAATCCTACTTGCCAGCAGTGATGCGTGTCCATGACAATTCCTGCAGTTCTCCATTTTTTAATATTTTGAAAGACCTCTTGAATCCACCTTGAGTCCGTCTGCCGACCAACTATCGTAGTGTCATCAACATAACCTGCCACAACAATAACTCGTGGAATTTGATTGAGCACAACAAATATTGGGTCCATGGCAAGACAGAAGAAATAAACAGATGTGGATCGTCCCATATCAACACCAGAGTGCACATTTCTTGCTGGTAGTAGCCGCCCTTGTACTTTATGTCTAATTCTTCTGCCAAACAGTAGATAACGCGCAAGTTGGAGGACCCAAGGGGAGCACTGGCGTATACGTAGTATCTGAATGATCCAATGTGCGTTAATACGCTCAAAGGCTTTGGATAGATCAGCAAAGAGGGCAGAAGCAGGCCCAGAGCCTTCCAGGGCTCCCTGTACTTCCAGCACTGCTCTCTGCGGCTCTCGAAAGGAGTTAAGCAGTGTTTGGGCAGGGTGAAAGCTGTGCCTGGTGATTCGGAAAAGAATTGCAGCAGTGGTGCCATCCTGTAATCTGTCAAGCGTGTCCGGCATGCCTAGAGGTCGGAAGAAATCTGCCGTGGGACCTTGTTTGGCTTTTGGAATCCATACTCCTACTTGGGTGGGTGGCGCTAATACACCAGCCAATATGTGATGAAAGTCATCCTGAAGGATTGCAGCAGTCTGTTGTGGGAACATCCGCCAAAGGGCGTAAGGTAACCCATCAGGGCCAGGAGCTGAATCTTTGGTAAGGAGGAGATGTTCGATATAATCTTGCTCGGCGGGTTCAGGAATCTCAGGCCACGGCGAGACACACCGTCGGTAAGCCGAAAGCGTGTCATGCCAATCCCGATCATACTTAATAGGGTGTGTGAACCAAAAGTCACGGGTTGCAAGCATCGCTTCATCGTACTCAAGGGCAGTACGACATTCTTGCCCATTATGTTGCAACAATGGCCCATGATAAAACGTGCCTCGAGGGCACACTGTTTTAAGCCTGTCCCAGAAGACTTTTTGCCTTCTAATTCGCTGGACTGGGTCTGTATTGTCAGTGCCAAAGGGCATTTGTAAGTTCGTAGCGGTTGCGACTTCAGCTGCTTGTAGAGCAGCAGCTACAATGGTGGCTGGAATCAAGAGGCATCCCTGCTGAGCTTGCCATGGATGTAATAGATCAGTATCTGCACTTTGTTCATACAACAATCGTACTTCGTCCTGTCTTATGTGTAAGTATGTTTGTTCTTTGCCCAATAGCTTGTATAAGCGTTTGAGTGGAGACAATTTTTTAAAGTGACAAGAGTGAGTTCTCCACCAGCTCCAAACTACTGCACGACAATGCTGCGAGAGAACAACATTGGCAAGTCTAGTTTCTTGTGCGAGCGAAATTTTTCGTTTAAGAGCAAGTAGAGATGCTTGCCTTGCAGCTGCCTGTAGACTTTCCGATGCAACTGTTGGGTCAAGAAAAACTTGAGTCGGTATTGTATGGTGTTTCTCAGACTGTGGATGTGGTCGAAGGCGCGGCTTCATCTTTAGCCTGAGCATCAAGGCTTTGTGGTGACAGGTACCAATGCGATACCTGCCATATATGCGAGCGAAAAGTTGTGTTGTATCCAGGAAAAGGCTAGGCACTAAGAATCGATCTAGTGCAGATTCTTGGTCTTGGTATTTATAGGTAGGAAGTGCAGGATCAACATCTGTGAGCCCAGCCTGTACCAGGAAGTCATCCCACGTATGAAAGTGATTCTGATCACAGCGATTAAAGTCACCTCCAACAAAGACCGGATAATCAGTCAGAGCAAGAACGGTTTGCAAAGTGGCTGAGACGAAGGGCTTAGGGCTGTTCGGAGGGATGTAGACCGAAACAAGCCATATAGTACAAGCTTGGTATTCGACACGAGCTGCAACAGCATAGTGCTGCACCAAGACGCGTTCTTCCAATACTTTCCAACCTGGAGGAAACAGGATTGCAACTCCAGCCTGCTCTCCCGGATTTTGCTTGGCCAGAGTGGTTACAACCTTAATGTCTGGCCACGTGTGGGATAAGTATTGGAGATTCGCCTGATTCCACTTTGTTTCCTGTAGCAGTACTGGTGCCTGTTTCAGCATAGTTTTGACTATCCAAGTCTTGTGCACGTTGGTGGGAAGTCCTGGAGACCAGCTATTGAGATTCCAAGTGTAAATGCCTTTTACAGAGACTGGCAGGTTGCTAGGCCTTTGCATACGAAATTGTAGCGCGTTATGGCAGAGCTGCCAGAATTTCAATGGAATTTGGCGTAAGGATTGAACTTCGTTAGGGAGAACAAGATATTACCTGCAAGTGTAGACGGGTCTGCAACAACACAATCTGTGAACTTGCCGATGTTGACTCGTAGAGAATGGAGGGCATCTGATAGATTGACATTGCCATCAAAACCACACAGCATGAGGAAACCCTCAATCTTGATCTGTCGGTACGGTAGGGAGGGATGGATAAAATGTATGAGGAAGTGGAGGGAAGAGACGTGCGTAATAGAAGCATTTGTTTGCTTTGTAGTATGCCAGTATGCTGCTTTGAGGCCTGTAGATAGGGTACGCTGCACTAAACGGAGAGATTTAATGGGTAGGTAACATAAATGCATCATTCAGCGTGTATAAGAGCCTTAGCTCTATGGAAGAGCTTTGCTGAAATCTCTCCTTGTGTGCACGCGTACCAAACCGAAGTCAGCGTCATGAGACGACAATCATCGATGCAAGCCTCAGTAGGAATATGGGTAGCAGCTTGTTCTGTTGCAATGGTCGTAGGAAGCACAGGGTGCGGAGTATGTGTGGTAGGGATAAGGGAAAGCAGCCGTTCGCAACTGCTGGCTTCAGATGCTTCGACTTGATGGATAATCAGTAGGCAGAAATTAGGCAATTTATCTGTTTGCCAGATGTTTTCTTGGAGTCGTGGGTAGGCTGCTCGAGCACTTTCAGGACAGATGCTAAGGCACCAATCCTGGAGGAGTCCCCCAATAAGAATGACAGGGAAGCTCCCTGTCATGAGATGACAAACATTTGCAAAAGGCTCTTTGCATACTTGCTTCTCTGCTGCTAGCAACAGGTGGGAAAGCCTCCATAATGCACATCCTGGCTCAACTAAACTATGTGCCCACGGCTTTTCAGTAATAGTGCATATGCGTTCTTGTTGGATAGCAAAAGCACATATATGTTCCGTTCCAGCTCCCTGGGGGTTGGTTTGAAAACCAAACATGGACCGATACCAGGAGGACGGCTGAGAGGGCTGACAAATGCGCACAGGCTCTCCACCATACTTGAAGAGCAGAATCTCCAACGTGTCATGGAGACGTAATAAATATAAGTGTGTGGCTCGACTAGGACCAAGACACCTCATGTGATTTGGCTGATGGGAGAGCCAACAAATGATGAATCCTGTGTCAGCTGTTTTGATCGTAGTAAGGATTTGTCGCAAAAATAGAGTGATTCTGTGATAGGTACAGTGATACAAAGTTAATTTAAACCTAAGTGGGTCTAATTCAGACCTGACTGGGTTCAATAACTACGGCCATGGGTTGATTGAAACTATGTCCTTTGTTTCAAAGGATCAAAGGGCTCAAGAACTAAGGTCATGAATTGTTAGAAGCAATCCTTTTTCAAAGGATCAAAAAGATTCAATTAACTAAGGCCATGGCTGTGAGAAACAGAAACGTTCCTTTGTTTAGGATCAAAATTAATGCCAGTTTTCAAAATTTCTTCTGCCAAGAACACATGGTATATATATATAGAGATCTATGTTATTTTTTGCATGGTTCATGCCTATACCAAAGCAGGGAAGCTGGGAAGGGCTGGGAAGCCGAAGCTGGGAAGCTTGAAGGGACACATGGACAAACACACACACACACACAAAAACACAAGTGACAATCAGAGAAACAAAAACACAGGCTCAAGTTTTCCCCATATACATCACAATATACAGCGCTCCTCCCCCACACACAAACACACAACATCATGGTGTCCCAGCTCATGGCCGCTCGCATTTCATCCTCGAGGCTAGGGAACCGCAGTGAAACGTTGAAGTGAAACTGGGCGACTACATGGTGTTGAATTCAGAGTGAAACTGTTCCAGGAACCCACTCACTGGAAGACCAACCTGGCAGATGGTTTCAATCTCCACATGTGTGGTAAAAAGACTTGACGGCTTCCCAGCCAGTGTCGCAGTGTTTCGATGTTTGGATGGCTTCCCAGCCTCAACATTAGGAAGGCATCCCAGCCTCAATATTGGAGCGGCTTCCCAGCCTCTATTTTGTGGCTTCCCAGTCTGTTTGGGTTGGGTGGCTTCCCAGCCACGCTTTGTCATACACGAGTTTAGGCAGAGCACTCCTTTTCCCCAAGCACTTCAGCTTCACCGTAGGAAGCTGCGAATGCAACGGTTTCAAACTAGTATTGCCTACCACTACGGCCTGCCATGATTTGGGCGCGAAGGATGCTCTCCATCCATGCTGCAGTGCCATTCTTCAATTTCTCCGTATGCGAAAGATTCTTCATCTCATCCTTGTGGTTCTCAAACCAGTGCTTCAAGAACATACTCTTCACAGAGCGCATGTCACCAGAGATGGCCTGCAGCGGTCAAAAGCTAATAGGACTAAAACTGTTTGAACGGGCCAACAGTTGTGAAAAGGTTTGGATATGGACCATTCCCCAGCCTTCTGCAGCATGTCAGGGTCAACATCGATCTCGGGAGCAGCGGGCGCTGGCGGATCTGAAGGCTCATCAGCTGCCCGCGGTGCTGGTGCTGGCTCAGTTCTGGGCACACCCTTCTTGACCCACTTTGAATGCCACTCCCGTGAAGTTTTCCGGTGATTTGCAACCTCCTCATGAGATCGCTCACGCTTCTTTGCCTTCCCAGGCAAGGGCTGATTCCCAGCCAGCTGGTCCTCATTTGAACCCCCAGTAGCAATGGCTTCCCCTGCCATTTCAGGCTCAGTACCAGGACCATGGGACTCCCCAATCACGGCTTCAGAGAGGCGTTCAGAGTCCCTTGTTTCCCCATCCTGAAAGGTTTCACTGTTGGGCTGAACAGAATTGGGCTCAGCAGCAATGGGCGATGGCTCCGGGACTTGGCTGTCCTCTTCGTACTGGCCCAAAACCAAAGTCTTTGCATCAAGATCATCATCGAAGGTTTTGCCAAGGTTTTGTGGCTGAACATTTGCACAGGCAGTTAACATCTCTGTTTGCGCAGTATGTTCCCAAAGCATCGCCAATGGAGGCTGAACATAATCTTCAGGAATGATGTTCAATGGAAACCCGGTGTCACTCTCTTCAATGAATGCGTCGCCGACATCGCCTGCCATGGCAGGCCTTGATGTCCCCGAAGATGCCTGAACACAGGCCAGGCTGGAGGATGACGATCGCAGGAGTTCATGGTCTTTCATTCAAGGGCTAGAAGCGATCATTGGCTTTGGGATCATGACTGTTGCTGCAACTATGCACTGGACTAGAAGTAAACACGTTTAGGCATGCGTCATGCCTTGCCTGGTTTGTCAACGTAGGTGGTTCAACTGGTGGGGCCAAAACTGGACGAGTCTCCTTGAAGAAGAAAACTGGAGCAGGGTTTGTGGGAGGATCATAGCTGATCGTGTGGAAGCCACTATCCACCTGCGACTCCTCGAAGAACACTTCATTGTCGCTGTCCACAAACTCCGCTTGGGATGCCATGCTGTAACAAGAACCCCTGGGCAACCTCTCAACGTTCTTTCAAAAGCCCAAATGCTACAGTCGTTACAGTTCAAGACTTTTTCTTTTAGAACGTTTCAGGATGTTCATCATGACTAGCGGCATGCTCAACTAGCCTCACAAGTTTTTGATCTCTCAGCTTCGTGGTAATCAGTTTATTGCAACCCGCCCCGCAGGTTGTTCAATCAGCCTGCCCTTGTCACAATTGACAGCCTGGCGCTTAGTCAGGGCTATGGCCGATGTCGGACAAAAGGCTGTGCAACATATGCTGCCGCTAGTGCAACAAATCAAGCTACAAATAATAACATCAGAGAAGATTGGTGGCATGTACTTGAGTCACCATGAAAACATATGGAAACATGTGCACAGCAGCCCCATGCATAGCCACACACACATCTAAGATCATCTAAGTGATGTTCACACCACCCTTTGAACGGTGTTTTTGGCCAAGTCTAGTGGACTGTTCAGAAACCAAAGTGGCTTCGCAGCGCCAAGGGTGTTTTCAGAGCGGTATTGGCGCAAACGCCAGGCCTCAGGAAAGTGCTGGACCGGGATGGTCCCGGACCGGGCAGGTCTCCACATGGGAAGTGCTTATGACTGGGACAGTCTTTCACTGGGAAGTGTTAAAGCCGGGATGGTCTCTGTAGTGCATGACGGCATGCAAGTGTTTCATACGAACCATGTGTGTAGTCCCTATCATTCTTATCCCCCTATGATGTATTCGGCCACTTTCACTGGAAACCCACCTGCGCCATGCCAACCTTCAAATTGTCCACGGTGAAGAAAGAGGCAGCGTTCGAGCATCGTAGATGGTTGAACTGAATCACGTTGGGTCTCCAGATCATCTTCTGTGCTTTTGGTCGAACCTCCAACCTGTAAAATGTAAACAATAAATTTGTGGAACACAGAATTCAAAATCGCTCACGAACACCGCAAGCAAACAAAAGCAAACAAATGAAAAGCATCAAGGAACGTGTCCGTCGTTTGGCCCTGCATGACGGCAGCAGGGCGGGAGTAGGAGTGCCCAGCAAGCTCAAAGTCGATCATGCCAGCGCGTTCACATTGCTGGATGATATCTTTCAAGGTCTTGCGATCACCGTCTTGACCGTTTTCCTCGAGATGCACGAATCATCAATATATTATAATATATTCAATATATAAATGACACTGTCTAACATCAATTTCAAAACTCATCGCTGTTTTCCGAAACTAGCCCTGCTCCTCTAGAATAGCCAAATCCGAATCAGCGTGGAAAGCGCAAAGTACACCACGATGATTGGAGGGTGCATTTTCCAAAAACTGATCTGCCTTAGAATCAGTCAGCCACGCCCCAGCGCCATATGTCAGGAAAGCATCATTGGTGTCCAGTTTGTAGTCCTGGGTTGCTTCCAGGAAGAGCTGGTAGACCGGCAAGCCACTATCCTCGTCATCACCTCCTCCCTCGGTGGGCTGGACCAGGTAACCATTGAGCTCTGGGCACCACGCAAACTTGCCCTTGATCTTGTCAGCGAAGGTTTGCTGGAAGCTTTCAGAAGACATTGGTGCCCCAAACAGCCGCTGCCAGTCCACCGCTGTGGTTGAAGTTGACCCTGCATTTGCTGCAGGTGTTGGAGAAGCAGATGCTGCAGCAGCGTTTGCAGCAGCAGCAGCAGGAGTTGAAAAGAGCCTATCGAACTCCTGAACAAGTTGGCGCCACTCAGGCGATCGGACTGGGTCGGTCATCCACTCCTGACGCACGTCCCTTGGAAGAACCAAGACCCCGTCCACCATGGTGCACAAACTCAAAGTTGGTCCTTCTGGTGTCTTTGGCAGCTCGTCCTGCTCAATCTCAGCTTTGTATCTCGGGTTCTTGTCGGTGAATGGACCGTCACTCTGCTTCCACAACTCCAAGAGATGCTGCTTCATCAACTTCGAAGCAAATGTAAAGATCGGTTGCTTCTCTGACTGGCTGCATGTTGAGATCTTCCTTTTGAGACAGGCCTTCTCCAGTGCCCCATCGTAAAGGATGGCATTGACCACCACGGTGTGATTCTCATTGGCTCCGGCACCTTGCCAGTACAAAGAGAACACGGACACCAAATATGAAACATTTCAAATCTAGTTGGAAATATCAATGTGGTTTAAATCTCAATACATCTAAGAACTAATCTTGTCAGTTCAGGCCTGTGAGCAGGTCTTGCAAGATCTTCAGCGGCGCGTCAGTCCCACCCAGCCACTGGGACGTCTCTTGCAAATCAGTGTAGTTCCTTCTCCCCTCAGCGCTGGAGACTGCGTTACTTGCAAGCATGCCAGGGACCACGAAGTCTTGTTCATTGATGGCTTCAGCCATTCCACAAATCTGCGCTGACCAGAGCTTGCTAAAGCAGAACTTGTTGACACCAGCCTTGTCAACCTCACAAGCTTTCGTGGTCACATCATTGATAAAACAAATGTGAATGCATCGTTGACAGGGACGGCTCTACACAGACAATGAAAGCAGGTTTGAAACTCAACGCCTTCTCACAGCCTCTGTTTGCACGATGGGCAGTCCCCTTTGCAGGAAGTGTGGAGTCCAGCACGCAGATGCTCCATTGGTACCCCGACGGCATTTCCCTGTTGCCATTCAGCGCTGAAGTGTCAATGGGAAGGAAGAACGGCCGGATCTCAATTCTATGCTGCACCAATTTGTCCTCCAACTTCCTGAATGCTTGCTATCACACCCTCAAAAACAGAGAAATGTGGAAAAATGCATATCAATCATTGATGAGAAATGCAGCCATTCCAAACAAGCTTCCGGATGTCAGCGCGCAAAGCGCCACAACCAGCTGCAGAAGCCAGCAAGGGCCATGCCATGAGAACGCAGCTGCCTAGACACCAACAACAATAGACCCATCAAGAAATGGCAAGACACGTCAACAAATGTCTGCTAAGTTCAGAGCCAGTTGGGTTCTTCGACAAGAGCTTCTCGCTCCATGTTGCATACTTGTTGACATCCTTCTGGGTCAAGACCCCGACTTTGGTCAGGTCCACCCAGCCGACCACTTGGATCTTTTCCATCCCCACCTGATCATATCAAATACGCGCACGTTGAGAAGATAGAAATTTGCAAATATGCAAGCAGCCAATGTTCTAACCTAGCCTAGCCTTCTGCTTCGCAGCGCTTCCACGGATGACGGTGTCGATTTCAGGTGGAAGGCTGGCATCAGCGATCAAGCCAATGTAGCAGGAGCAAGTCATGTACTCATCTACCACCCTGAGGTCCAAACACTATAGGACAACCATAAAGGAAAGACACCTTGTTCTCCAACAAACTGCAAAATTACAATCCCAATCACAGAGCACCAAATTCTATAATTATACAATCAAGAAACGACTTGCCAATCTCGTTCTGCTTCTTTTCGTGAAGTACCTTCAACACATGGCTCTTGCTCTCTGCTTTGGACTTGTCCATGAGGTAGCTTGTCATCGATTGACAATCCGATGCCAACTTGATTTTGATCTCTCGGAATCGGCTATCCGCTGCATGCTCCTGAGCGACCAACACAGCATCACTGGAGGCTTCCACTTGGAGGCAGGCTGGCATGGACGGCGGTGCAATCAGGTCAGCCCAGACTGCCAACGCAGACAATCGGAAGGAACCATTCTTGGTAGACACTGCCGCTTCCACATCTTGCCAGTAGTCTCTGACTCTCTGAGACGTTGGATGGAAATGGTTGGTGTTATGATAGCAACCCCTTCACAAAAAGCTGGAGGGCAAACATTGACGTAATGTGTTCTTGCCAGGTCACTTGGCCAAGAAAGCATCCATCAACTTGCCATCCACACTCTTGTCAGAAGTTGTTGCTCTTGCTGCCTGTCGCAAAGCAGCAAAAATGCATGCAAAATCAACCATCTTCTCGAACTCCTCAGAGTTGGGTCGAACACGGGCTCTGGCAGATGTCTTCACTCTCCTGCATGCTTCATTGAAGGACTTGATGTGAAGCTCCATCAGCATTGTTTGCGCCACCGGTGTCACTGTCAGGATCTCAGCCAGACCATCCATACAGTGCTTCGGACGCGCGCCAAGCAACCACCTCTGGGTGCGCAGCTGCTCTGTCGAAAAGCAGCTGTCCTTCCATTTCGTGAAAGAAAGATGGTGGCTCATGAGAGCACGCGCTTCCTGGGAACAACCATCAAGAAAGAAGTCACCAGCAGCAGTAACACACCTGGAACATGATTAGATATATAGTTCAAAGCAATTCTAAACAAAACATGTCCCTTTTGTCAAACTCATCCTTGCAGCTGCCCACGATGAGGTTGAGGACGGCTCGTTCCTTCTCACCCTCCACCTGGTGTTTGACATGTAACCCAGGGGAGCTGTTGAATTCCTGGATGACGCGCTTGAGGCGCGCCTCCGTGTTCCCTGAAGCGCCAGCAGCATTTCGATCCATGACTTTGGAGAACCTCAGGGCCATTTGTAGGAGGTTGGGTGGTTGCCTCTCCGCGCCCCTGAAGGATAGGCTGAGATTTCGGAAGGTCTGGTCGTCTTTGGACATGCCCATCTCAATCTTGGATGGTACGTTGATTGCAACCAAAAAGGAAAAGAACAAACAGTACATACATTTCATTACACAGCGCCTGACGTTTAACTTCAATAAGCTTCTCAATATACACTTGAACGCGTGCAAGAACACATATTCAAACATAAACTAACAAAACGGAGTTGTTTATAAAGGAAAAAGGCATGCGTGTCACACAATGGCAGGAAACAAAATATATGCCCCATTCAGTTCAAAGCAACGTGCATGGGCAAGAGCCACGCTCTGTCCAACACGCGCTGCATCGGTTGCAGCCTTGCATGGTGGGATGCATCACTCAAGTCGATGTCGGCCATGCACAAGGCGATGAAGGCCACACAAGTCGAACGAGTCCAGCCCTTGATGGTGTCCACCATGAAATTATCCAGCTGCATTTTACCTTGCAATCCAGCTGGTCAGCAGTTCAACCAACGTTGGGCTGAGCTACAAAAATTGTTCACTGAATTCAAAATTCTTCTCCTATTGTCTCCTAAGCAACTGAGAACTATGTGTTTTCTCCTCAACAGGCAAGACTGTGACTTGGCGTTGCGTTAGCCGGTCTTTGCCAAAGCAGAAGGAATCCGTGAAACTGATCCGGAATCTATGCACTGCTCTCACTCGGCTTTCCTTTCGCCGCTTCCAAATCAGCGGCAGCAGCAGCAGCTCTCTTTCTGTGATTGACAGATTCCTGCGTTTCATCCTGCTTGATCCTCCAAGGGGCACGAGCATCTGAAGGTGGCGTTGCCACTACCTTTGCAGTTGCCCCTGCCGGCGGCGAAGATTGATCTGTCCCTGTCGACAGCACTGGCGGCGGCGGTGGTGGTCCAAACGTCTCAACCTTCACGGGATAGCCATGCTCAGCATTGAGTTCAGCCGCCCACTGCTCTGCTTCTTGCAAGCTGACCGATGTGATGCCGTCGTGGTGCGGCTGGCCCTGACCTTTACCACCACCAGGCTTCCACGCTGACTGTTTCCAATTCCATCTCCACTGACCTGTGACGTCATTGCGCTCGAATTCACCTTAGCGTGAGAAGAAAACAGATGTAACATGCGACATACACAAAATACATGGTTGCCAGGTTTTTTCGTTAATACAAGCTCCACACACCTGGGCATTATATGTGTTGACCAATTTGTCGGTGGATAGGTCCATTAACCTATGATTTGTTTCTTTGATGTTTGGCAAAAAGAAAAATTGCACCGCTGTAATATTGTCTAGAAACCTTCCAGGGCATTGGCGGCAACTGACGTTGAAAGCAGCATCGCCTGCTTCCACGATTCATACCAATCGTGGTAGCTCTTGCCCCTGCCCTTCTGTAATGTTTGATAGAAAAAGCGTAGCATATCTCGATATTCCCGCCCGCTTTGAGACTGAGAGGGATGGCCATAGCTTTGACTCATGGCACCCAACGCAAAAAGTCAGTCCAGGATCCACGCTTCGATTATTTGATCCACTCAAGGCAACCATCATGGTTATGTCACTTTGTCGCAAGCTTTCAAAACTAAAGGGATAACCCCTGAATCCTGAATGCTGCCCAAATACCAGAGACCCCGTCCGGCGCAAACTCAACCTCAAAAACGCATTGAACAAACCATGTTCGGCAAAAGGTAAATGTCAACACAGCAAACTTCAGGCCAGTCCAAACATTCATTTATTGAGGCCTTGGCTGAAACGTCCAAGGGCTCACGACCCAGCTCAAGTCCGTCCAGGAGAATTGACTGGAATGTGTGAATCCAGCTTTCAATCCCAGGCAGGCCGCCCTCTGGGATTTCATACCTGCCAGATGCGAATAGAACGCAACTCAGTGGACTTATTTGCCCTCTAGCCTGAGGACGGTAAAGGGAAGCTTCATGGTGTCATCCTTGCAATGCGCGTCGATCGCCTCATACAATGCGCAATAGAAAAACAACTAGAAGACTGGCTAGAAGCTCAAGCCTTTGCTCACTATGCACATGGCCAATGTTCAATAAGAAACTGGGTCGGTCACACATTCAGCAAGAGGCTTGAACGGCAAACCACGAAGGCCCATGTAATTCTTGAACCAATCCTCCACCTTTTTTGCATAGAAGTCCCGGTTTGGCCCATTGAGAAGGTCCAACACTAATTGGACTGGGTGAAGACCATCAATGTTGCCACCATCAGCCGTGAACAGTAGCACATGGTCCAGCATCTCCTACACGAAGAATCATTTTTTCAGTCAGTAGGCAATGTATCAATATGAGTGTTTTATATAATACCATGATATCTCCATGAAACTTGACAAGAACAAGTGGCGAGCCTTCATAAAAGCGCAGTCTCCAGGAAGAGACTTCATCTTTTTCTCCATGTCACTCGCAAGTTTCTTGTTCGGCGATGGTGTAGCGCCGACTGTTGGGGCCTCTCGTTTCACTCCCTTCTTCTCTTCAGTTTCATCTTCCTTTTTCAACTTTGCTTGCACCGCTTCAAGCAATGGGCACAAACTTAAGGCGGCCATCCTTTTTGCAATCCCTGCAAACCGCTCGCAATCCCTGCGTGCTTGGACCAAATGCATAAAAAGTACATTGGAAACATGTTGCAAAATCAAGTTTAAGTCCAATGTACTTGGAGCCTCCATGTACATTGAACACCCTAGTACATGATGGGAGTGATTGGACCTATTTTAGGTTTTCCAAATTGAGACCAATGTTCAGACCCCAGGCACCCCAAGTTCAATGGACATGGAGCCTCCAAGTACATTGGATTGTGTTCCAAAATGTGGAAAAAAGTCAATCGACTTTTTAGCCCCCAAGATCTCCCAAGTCAATTTGGAACAACCCCCAAATCAATTTGGAGCAGCTCCCAAGTCTCCAAATTCCAATCGACCTCGAGCCTCCATGTACATCGGAAATGGTGTCCACCACCCCCCACGTACATCGGAATCACAGGCGCCGGCCTTCAGGTACATCGGAATGGAGGCCTGACAACCTCAAGTACATCGGAATTCTTTCCAACATGCCCAAAGTACATCGGAATTGGACGCCGCAAGCCCAAAAGTACATCGGAAACTCAGGGTTCAAAAGTACATCGGATTTCTCAAATTCCAACCAAAAGTACATCGGAATTCTCAATTTTCCACCCCAAGTACATCGGAATTCTCAACTTCCCACCCCAAGTACATCGGAAATCTAAACAGTGGTGAAGCAAAGGTACATCAAACGTGAGAAAGAACTTCACGCTAGTAAGGCTGCAAGCTTTCTGAGTGTTGGGCCCTCGTAGTGGAAACATTTGCCAAGGCCTGCTTTGCGAATGGGGCATGGAATGCTGCAGCATGTGGCAGGCTGAGGCTTGGGCCGGGCTCTGGGCTGGAGATTGAGGAGAAGAAAACCTGAGCAAAGAGTCCATCAATGCTGTGTTTACCGGCCATAAAAGGGCTTCCCTAATTTAGCTTCCCAGCTAATGAGGGCTTCCCAGCCATGACATAAAGCTTCCCAGCTAATGAAGGGTTGCCAGCCATGACATAAAGCTTCCCAGCTAAAGAGGGCTTCCCAGCCAAGACATAAGCTTCCCAGCTAATGAAGGCTTCCCAAACACAAAAACGTCAGCTGACGAGCTAGTTCCTCAGAGTTTTTTGGCGGCAAGGGGGCAGCGCATCAACAGAAGATCTTTCCACAAAGCTACGGTGCTGAGACTCAATTTGTCAAAGGAATGAATTTTTCATGACTGTATGCCAAAGAACAACAACTGGTTGACGTGCTTCTCAGCGCCTTACCCCTGCAAAGATTGCTTTCAAGGGCATAGCTGGGGCAAGAGAATCTACAATGCTGCCGTGCAATGAAAAAATTGGCAGCCCAATTCTGTCCTCACCAGGCCGATCATGCCAAGGCAAAGCCTGCGGCTGCCCCTCGATCCAATATTTGTTCTCAGCCAAATCCTTGGGAAATTCAGGGTGGCTTTTTTAATAAAGGGGTTCCCAAACATGTTGGAACTGATTGCTTTTAAGTCGAGCAACTCTCAGGTACTGTGTAGCCCTAGCGTATGGTTCTCCATAAGCGGCATGGATCGCATTAGCGACCTCAATCATTTGGGCCCTGAACTTTGGACCATGATTGGTCTCCATCCTTGGCGGAGTCAAGTTAGTCAAGATTCCACTCCTTAATCGCCTATCATGTCAATTTTCTGGAGAACAGACATTACCAAACACAGATATTGAAGCAGACAAGTGGCTTTACTTCAGTGTTCAACCCCACACGGGCCACTCTGCTTTCAGGCAGTACGAGCAAAGGTTTCTGGCTCAACTGCGTGTCGCAGATGTGCCGCTTGACCAGGCAAACGATGTCTTCACGATGAGGAGCGCCTCTCCAAGATCCCTGGTCAACGTTCAAGGCCAGCTGCTCCGGGAGATCTGACAGGGGCAGAGGCTGATAGAGGCTGGGAAGCCACACAATGACTGGGAAGTCAAAAGCTGACTGGGAAGTCACATATAGACGGCTAAACACCAAACACATGTTTGTTTATGGCTCAGAAACTTCAACCCAACTACAAATATTTGACTGATCACATTTAATTTGGTTTGTGGCAGAATCAGACCTTTCCGGTTCATCAGCACGAAGACATGGTTGGCCGTTGAATCAACGAGAAATCCACCCTCTAGGCTGATGCCCATTGCCCTCCAACTGTCCCGCCAGTTACGAACCACGTCTAACTTCTCAACGTGTACTTCCGTCGTTGAGCCAAGCCAGCCCCTCACGCCGGGGCGTACCAGCTCTTGTTGAAGACACTGGACAACATCACTTGCATTCAAGAGACTGTCTGTTCGCGCCACCCTCCTGCTGATCAAACCCCATATCTGATCCAGCCTATCGTGGGTGTGTGACTTGCGGAGGAAGTATAGGCCAGCTAGCCGTAGCTTCCTCCGGGCCAGTAACTGGCTGAGATATTTGATGTTGTGCTGGTTTTTCAACTCCCTCACGGTGTTGTCACCGAATACTATGCAGTTGCGTGGGGTAGCTCGATTTCTTCGAGCGCAAATCCTCAAAGCAATTAAATATCAGCCAAAAGATGCTCAAGTTCAAGTTCTGAAACCATTTGTCAAAAGCCTTTGGGTCCAAAACAAGACACAGGCAAGCAACCCAGCCACACGCTCCAACGTCAAAGCGATCACTTCTGTGACGCTGCTGCTGTCATGGCGTAACATGTCGTCCATGACTTTGACCTCCAAACTATATCCTCAAAATAGTCCACAAAAAAAACTCGCATCAAATTGACACTTTGTTCGTGTGACAATTTGTCAGATGAGTTGCCAAAGGCCCATGCGCCGTGTATCTTGAGCCGGGGCCTTTTCTCCGTGGGCCTGAGAGTGTTTGGCAGACAGGGCCGAGCGGCAGGCTGTAGTTCTAACAACAAATGCTGAGCAAAAACTGCCAACAATGCGGTTAA